AAAATAAAATAAAATAAAATAGTTGGAGTTCTTTACAGTAACAAAAAGAATGCTGAAAAGTAAATAAGAAAAACAATACCACTTATAGTAGCCACCCAAAAGATGAAATATGTAGGAATACCTAAGCAGAGATACAAAACACCTGTACAAAGGAAACTGAAATACAACTGCAAAAGAACAAAAGAGACCTACAGAAATGGAAGAATATACCATGTTCATGGATAGGAACACTCAACATGTGAAAATGTCAATATTATCCCCCAAAATCTGTAGGTAAAATGCAATCCTGATCCAGATTCCATAATCATTCTTTAACAAGATGAAAAAATGAATCACAAACTTTCTATGGAAAGGAAGAGACCACAGATAAGAAAAGCACTGCTAAGGAAGAAAAGCAAAGCAGGAGACCTCATACTTCTTGATCTCAAAATCAGTCAATTTTTTAATCACAACCACAGAAGTCAAAACAGCTTGTACTGGTACAATGGCAGACACATAGACCAATAGAGCAGAATTGAAAACTCAGAAATAAACTCATTCACACAAAGACTGCTGGTATTTGACTAAGAACTGACACAAATTAAATGGGAAAGATATGGTTTATTTAACAAATGGTGCTGGCAAAACTAGATATCCATTTACAGAAAAATGATACAGGATGTATATTCCACTCCATATAAAAAAGCCAACTCAAGATGGATAAAACATACAATGGAAAACCTAAAACTGTGTCACCAAACAAAGAAATAGAGACAAATTTAGGGGACCCAATACACGGTATGAATATACAGCCAAACATCTCTAAAAACACAGTAACACCATAAGACAAACTTGATGACTGGGGCCTCTTAAAAATTAAACACTGCTGTCCATCACAAGAATTCACCAAAAAAGAAAACCTACAAATAGAGGAAGATTTCAAAAAAAATTTTAGATGACATACTGGACAAGGAGGTAATCTTTGAAATTTGTATAAAAATGTTAATAACAATAAAAAGACAAATAATCCAAATAAAAAGTTATTAGAGTAACTTTTTATTTGGATTATTACTTAGGTTGTTCTCCTAAGTAAAAAACTTAGGAGAACAACCAACACATGAAGTAATGCTTATGATCATTAGGCATTGTTGTTGTTGTTGTTGTTAATTGCCATTGAGTTGGTTCCGACCTGTAGCAACCCAGTATAGGGTTTCCAAGGAGCAGCTGGTGAGCTTGAACCCCCGACCTTGCAGTTCAAACGACTTTGCAGTTTGGCGCATTAACCCACAGCGCCACACCAGGACTCTGTTAGCCATTAGAGAAATATAAATAAAAATAACAATGATATATCATCCAAACCCAGAATTAATAGCAAAGTTCCAGAAAAACAGCAAAAATCTCAATGGCAAGTATGTGGAGAGACTAGAATCCTCCCATGCTGCTGGTGGGACTCTACAATAGTAGAACCATAAGGTTTACTATGAAGGGAATGACAATTTCAAGCTAAATTGTTTTGCATTCATCATTAAAAAAAAAAAAGAGGATTTCAAAATCTGTATTGAAATATAATGCTGTCTTAGATAGGATAATATGAAGTCCTGGTGTCACACCAGGACTTCATAGTGAGCCGGAATAGGATTTCTGAGGTTGTAAATCTTTGCAGGAGCTGAAAGTTTCATCTTTCTCCCATAGCAGTAGAGCATAGCTTACATGGAACAAAATTATGAAAACTTCTTAGACATTACCAGACACCTTGAGGACAGAAACTAGGCCTAAGGGTTAGGATCACAGTCTTAGGGGACACCATGGTCAATTGGCATAATGCAGTCAACAAAGACAATATTCTACATCCTACTTTGGTAAATAGTAAATGGGATCTTAAAAGCTCATGAGTGACCATCTAATGTGCAACTATTGGTCTTTCCCTATGAGGAGGATAGAGGAAGTATGAAGATTGAAGACACTTGGTTAACAAGTAGTCTAGCGGATGAATGGAATATGTGAACATCACTCTCCATGTCCCTGATACCAGAAGAACTAGATGATGCCCAGCTATATTACCCTGACAGGAATCAAAATAGAAAGTCCTGGATAGAGTGGAAGAAATCAAAATCATAAAAAGATCAGGCTTACTGGAGAAACCTCAAGACTATGCCTCTTGGTCACCCTTTATGTAAGAAAATTATTTATCTGTGTGGCTCAAATTTCAGCCAAGGTATACAGAGGGAATAAAAATGAAAGTTAGGTTTGCATATAATGGTCAACCATTTGAAATCAGAAGGACAGCATTTGTTTAAAGAAATTTTTCAGAAGGGTTGGTAAAGAAGCAGTAAAGGAACAAGAATCACAGGGAGAAAGTTCTATAACCTGTATTGCATTAAGGAAATACAATCATCGAAATGAATGTATGATATGTTGGATGTAAAACTGATGATCTGCTCCATAAACCTTCACTTAATTTACAATAAGATGGTTTTTTCTTCTTCTTAATAACGTGTTAAAGGGCAAGTATATCATTTTTAAGAATAAGTTGCACCTGACCCAAGCCATGGTACTTTCAACTGCCTGTGAAAGCATGTGACAACTTGACAATGAATAAGAAACTGGAGAACAATTGATGCATTTGAATTATGGTATTTCTGAAGACTATTGAAAGTACCAGGCACTGCCAGAACAACAAGCCAATCTGTGTTGGAAAAAGAGCTATCAGAATGCTCCTTAGAAGAGAACATGGTGAAACTTTGTTTCGTATACTTTGGCCGTGTTATCAGAAGGGAGCAGTCATTGAAAAAATACATCATGTTTGGTAAAGTGGGACCCAGATCAGAAGAGGGCTCTGCAAGAGGTTCACAACTGTGCTGCTAACAGACATATCATTTAGACACAAAGCTTATTAGATCTTATGCTACTCAGGTACTCCGGGTTTGGCACTGTAGGGTCAGCAATGGACTGCAAACAACAAGGTCAGTGGTTCAAACCCACCAGCTCCTCCTTGGAAAAACCTATACTGGGTCATTATGATTCAGAACCAACTAAACGGCACTTAGTAACAACAACATGTTACTCATTGTAAATATGGTGGGAAAAGATATTGTGAGACACAGTAAGCCCCAATAAGAAAATCACAAACTAGATCCCTACGGACTGTTGCAAGACTATCTTACCACAAAGACTGTACCTAGCATGGTATTGGGCCTCAGCAAAAAAGAAAGCATCTGTCCAAGGAACATCACATGATCACAAAGCAGAGCAACTCTCCATTAGTTGGGTTATGTCAGATGTGCTAAGTTATAATGTCAGATAGGCCCAACAGAAATTCATCATATGATGGAATTGGATCTTTGATACTGAGCAGGAGCAGAGCCAGAAGGCACAATACATGTACTGCATGAGGAGACAGTCAAATCCTCCACCCAAATGTCATCAACCTTTGTTGCATTGGGGGCTCAACCTCAGCTTACACCTATGACCCATGGAAGGTACCTCAAGGAATGATATAAAAAAATAGCAGAACTTGGTTTACAAATGTGTTATATCTATAGTCCCACTCAGGGATGGCCATGGTGAGATCAGTAAGAAGAAATTCCCTCAATGAACAGAGTTCAGGCAGCATATCTAGTTATTTACTTTGCATGGAAAAAGAAATATCCTCAGGGAAAATATACTTGAACTATATGGCAATAACCACAATTTGGACTAAGTAGCAACAACCACAATTCAAATTATGGTGCTGAAGAAGAGTATTAAAAGTACTATGGGCTGCCAGAAAAACATACAGATAAGTGTTGGAAGAAGTACAGCCTCAATGCTCCTTGGAAGCCTGGATGATAAGACCTCATCTTTCATACATTTGACATACTATCAGGAGGGACCAGTTCCTGCAGAAGGACATCATTCTTGGTAAAATGGAAGGTTACCAAATAGGACGAAAACATGAAGTGGAAATGAAGTGTCGAAATCTTTGAATCTCATGTCAATGCCCACACAAGTACACTTCCCTCATAGGAGATACTACATAGCCTAGTACACAGAATGACTCATCCAGTTTACATGAACCAATCTCTGTCATTGACCAACCCTGGGATGGCAAAATGGGCTCTTAGGGTACATCAGTCACAACCATAATCTGGAGAAACAAGATTTCCTCATCTCCATAATTGTTAGTTGTATCAAGTGAATAAGTCCATGTATGCAGTAAAGCCTCAGTAACTGTTCATATGAGTATCATTCTCATCAATGTTACCTGGAGTATAAACTATTACAAGGCAATATGTAACTATGAATGGAAAACCTTAAATATGTTCATAACTTTCCTTATAAGCAGTGATAAATTCCATTCTTCAGAACTTTTTCTAAGAAAATAGAAGTTTGCAAAATGTACTACAAGATCTTCTTATTAATGTTATTTATATTTACAAAAGATTAAATACAATATAAACACCAGCAGATGGTTGATTGGCTAAATGTATTATTTCATGTCCAAAAAATAATATCATGTGCAGCTTCCTGTTAGATAATTAAGAACATATATTAAATGTAAAAATCAGGACTTATGAGGCAAAATTATACCAATTTAGTTTCAATGTGTGTTTATATTAGAAAAATTAAGTGATAAAAATTTTAAATCATGTAGCATATATAATGAAACCTGTGAGAGCCTGAACTCACCCAACAGGAATGCCTTGCTTTTCCACATCTCACAAGTTTTCTGCCTTTGACAGGGTGCAGTTATTACTTTTCTATCACTCTGTATTTAATGGAAAATATTTGAATTTTTCTATCTCTGATAGGTTTTTGCATTACACAGATTCTGACTTTCACAGATTTTACTTTATTACATTGAAGTAACAAAATACAGCATCTAAATGAGTCCTGCTATCATGCTAGAGGATAAAACACTGGACTGCAAGGCACAAGGTTGGTGGTTCAAACCCACGAGCTCCTCCTTGGAAACACTATACAGGGTCACTGTGAGTCTGAACCAACTCCATGGCACTTACCAACACAATAACCTATCACAGAGTTCTGCAAACTCAGAAAATGGTGAAATAAAATAATTGATTCAATTCTGAAAGGATACTAATAGAAAATAACAATACCTGTGAAGATGTCACTGGAATAGATTGTTGAGTTGACTTCTCTGAAATCATACCGATGTTGTACCCCACTTCTCCCTTTGTGATGTGATGTGGAGGCTCCTCCCAGGATACACTGAGAGAGTATGGTGAGAGAGGAAATACTGAAGGAGGGATCATGAACACAGGCACTACAAAAACAAAATAATGAGTTCTGTACTTACACATCTTAAGTATGAATTCACAAATTTATTCTTCTTTCTGAAATATCCCTTTTCCCTTTTCCTTATCAAATATTTTATTCAAAATATATATATATACTGGTGTATATAAAAATATTCACATTTTTATATTATCTGCAAAACTGTTCCCCATCTTCACCTCACTAGCAAAAATGTTTTCTGATTACAAAATAAAGAAATATAGCAATTTGCTGATGGTCATAATGGTAATTAATGGATTACTGAGCAGGAGACTCTAGGCCTTAGGAAGTATTTGAAAGGAGAACTCATACAAACAGAATATGTCTCAGTCCACAATATTTAGAACAATGCACATTGATGTACTGTGCTTCCTGAGTAAAGAAATAGTCCATTACATAAAACTGGTATTATTCAAAAAAAGGTAAATTGGAAATGCTCTAAAAAACATTTTAAGTTTTTGATAAATCTTGTAGAAATATTCAGGATATAAATACAAATATATTCCCCCCTGCCATTCTTGAGATCTTAATATGGATTTTAAATGTGCTAACCAAAGGTATATTATCAAAGGACCTCATCACACTTCCATTAGTCAGTGACCCATAAGATTATGAGGGTCCAGTATTACAATTTCACCTATTATTTTTCATTCCTGACCTTGATTTTCCCCTTCCAGAATGCCATGCCTCATCACTTGTGCTATCATGGTACTATTATTTGTCCAAGAAGGCTGGTAGTCATTAAAAGATGCTCAAGCACAGTGCACATTTTATTTATGCAATGATTCCCTTGAACATCAACCTAAAAGTATCCTCATCCTCCACAGTTCTTACAAATTTAGGTCAGGGCTTGAGTCTCTTTGGCTACCCATAAGTTCGAAACATAACAAGCGTATATATTTTTTCGAAATGTGCATGTAATTTGATGTGTTTTCAATGTCAAGACTGAGGTGGAGAATTTTAAATCTTGCTTGCTTTAATGATGATATCTGATGAAAAGTGTAAAACTTTGCCTCCATTTCTTATCAGACTGACAACTGCTCCTAAACACGTCTGTGTGTTACAGATTTTGATGTCTAGGTTTCTGTAAATATGAACCATTTAGTACCTAAACTCTTCATTTGAGTGAAAAAAATTATACATGATGTTAACCCACTTCAAAATCAGAAACACATCCATACTTTTAGTAAACATTCATCCACAAAATATAAATTCAGCGATTCATCCCTCTTTCCAATCTCTGAAGCAATAGCTAAAGCATTTACTTTTGTTGCCCCTAAAACTAACTTCAAATACTTTACGATCTTGAATTATTTACATAATCAGTTCATACATTTAAAATTTCCCTGAACTACTGGACTACTAACTGCAAATCCACCTTATCCAGGGTCATTATGAGTCAAAATCAACTCAAAGGCACTTAAAAACAATAGCAACATGCAAGTTTGTAAATTTTGCTTTTCAAAATGTACCTTGTTGTTGTTGTTGTTATGTGCCGTGGAGTTGGTTCCGACTCATAGTGACCATGTACAGGATTTCCGAGGCTGTAAATCTTTACGGGAGCAGAAAGCCTCGTCTTTCTCCCGCGGAACAGCTAGTAGTTTCGAACTGCTGACCTTGTGTTTTGCAGCCCGATATGTAACCACTACGCTACCTTAACACTGCTGAATTTAATTTGAGACAATACTTTCACTCAGGCGTTTTAAAAGTAGCATTCAAAGCCTAGATCTTTACCTGATTCTCCTGTTCTTTCTGACGTCCATGTAGAAGATATACTACCAGCCATATTCATAGCTAAGACTCTAAATTTGTATTTGGTATATGGCTCCAATCCAGTGATGACTGTGATTGTTTGAAGAGGTTGTAAAGCATTTTCATTGGCCGAAAATGTGCGAGGATTGAACCAGCACTGTTCTGACAAACTGTATTTTTTGCAGGCATGGTTTCTCCATTAGAATTCAATCTTTTCATGTACAATTCAATCTTATAATTATCCCTAGAAAAGTGAAACAGTGAACCAAATTAGGCAAATAGATCTGATTGGAAGGGGTCAGGGGTAGGAGTAGGGATAGGTCAGTCAATGAATGTTGGGTTTTCATTCTTCTTTTGAAACAATTTCTTCCATTTCTTTAGTAATCTCTGTAGGTACTTAGACAACAAACTGAAGGGTACATGAATTATCAAATACTACTAAAAACACTTAACAACAACAACAACTAAAATCAAAGATATCATGTTAAGGACTAAGGTACACCTGATCCAAGTCCTGGTATGGTCAATTGCCTTATGTTCATGCAAAACCTGGAAAACATACAAGGAAGACCAGAGAATGATTGAAGCATTTGAATCATGGTGTCAGAAGAGTGAACAAAGTTATCTTGGAGGAAGTACAGTCAGAACGCGCCTTTTGGGCAAGGATGGTGAGTTTTCGTCTTATGTACTTTAGGCACATTGTCAGGAAGGACCAGTCCCTGGAAAGGAAGACTGCTTTGTAAAGAAGTTTCAGCAATACAGAAAAGGACTCTCCAGGAGACAAATTGCTACACTGGCTACAACGATGGGCTCAAACATTAGGATGATTGTGAGGATGACACAGGACCAGGCAGCTTCATTCTGCTGTTCATGGGGTCGCTTTGAGTAGGTAACAACCCATTGCCACCCATTAACAATAAATACGAGATACACTCATGGAAAAAAACAAAAATCAAAAGCAGACATGTACAAACACAAAATAATTAACTCTATGATTGGTAATTTCAGTGTTTTTCAAGATGGATAGTCCTAATTTCCCTAAGAATGGCTAGTTATTTGGGTGAATGTGAACATTGTACATTTTCAAATTTAGAGATTCTAATTTGACTGTTTATTTAAAGGTGTCCTGGTATGGCTGTAGGATAAACACTGCATGGCTAACTGCAAGTTCAGTGGTTCAAACCCACCAGCTACTCCTCGGAAACCCTATATAGGGTTGCTATGAATTAGAACTGACTCGATGGCACTTAACAACATTAAAGGAGACCTGGTGGCACAGTGAGTTGAGTTAGACTGCTAACTGCACAGTTGGTGATTCAAATCCATTAGCTGTTCTGTGGGAGAAAGATAAGACTGCCTGAGCCAGGTAAGACATCACAGAAACCACAGAAAGGTATCAGTCACAGAAACCCTATGGAGCAATTCCATTCTGTGTGAGTGGGCATCAATCCAACAGCAGTGCACCCTGTTTACGTAAACCCTGTTTACATAAATGTTTGAATATTATAGTGTATTTCTATCAAGTCTTATAATATTAAAAAGTCTATGTAAGATTTTCCCCTTAATATTAAATTACCAAAACCCTATGAATGTGTGCCTGGCCCATATAACTAAAGTTCAATCATCTGAACACAAAAATTAACTTAATGGAGTCATCTTATTATATATACATTTAAAAAATGATTTTTGCATCATATTCTTGCTTCAGAGAGGAAAATTTACTCCTTATGTGTGCTCTAACTTGTGACACAGTCAAATATAATGCATTTCATAAGTGAGTGTCAAATTATAAACATCATTTCTATGGTGGCAGATGTCATTAAGAGCAAAGATAATACTAGCCTTTTAAGGGGTAATTCAATTGAATGGATTTTTTTTATTATTAGATTAAAAGAAATACAGTTTTTCCACTAACCAGGAGAAATAGAATCTTTAATCTTTAGAGATCTTCAATTATATAGATATCCTGCAGTTATAACCATGAATACCAGACTCTTGGTGCACAATTCCAAATTCCTGTATTTTCATTCATGCTTTGCCCCAAAATGAGAAATCCAGGCCTCTGCTTACTGTTTGATCCTCGCTGTAAAGATGTGTTCCCACTTTCGAGCTACTGCATCCATAGATGTAGGTCAAGTTCATCAAATTGTATCAGATTACTCTTTTTTTCCTCTTCTTTCCTCTTCTAGTTGAAATCTGATCATCCAGCCATTGAAGCCAGGTCAAGCGGGTATTATCTGCAAGTGTGGGTGTTCTTGTGCATATGCCCTCTCTTCTTATCCACTGGACACTTCACTTTCCACTCTAGTCCTCTGTGGCTATGCCACTGACTCTGGGCCTACAAGTCCCCAGGTCTTGCCACATTGCTGGCTAACCAGGTCTCCACCAAGGTTCACAGGAGTCTATTGAACATTATAGGGCTTAGCTCGCAGCTTCTTTGCTGGTTTTCCCTCACTTCCCCTTATTGGTGACCAATATGGTCACCAGTCAGAGTGCATGTCTGCTTGTGTATTCCCATTGAATCTTAGTCTTGAAAGGAGGTTTGCTCTGAGGGGACCCAACCGCTTGCCTTGATGGATCCTGGGTGAGCAATTTGCTTGTTCTTGTAGTAGCCAGTCTTTCTTTCAAGTAATATCTTCTGTTCTAGCTGCTCCAGGCTGGTCTGCTTGTCCTTTCAAATGGAAATTTACCACTTCAAAAGATTCTGGATGAGGGTGAGGATTCTCCCTATGGTCTTATGTAATACAGACGCTCCACATGAAGCCTCCTTCACTGGGCATGTTGTAGCCCCATTTTAGGTATTCCAATTAGTTATAGGCAGAAGATGGACTTACAAGCTTTCTATGGTGATATTTCTGGCTATTTCTTTCTGTCCTTGTCAAGTGTCTATTTTATAACGGTATGGGAGGGAAACCAAGATTCAAAAGACAGCCAAGCTTCTTAACATTGTTTCCCCCCTTTTGCCCTTTCCAACCATGCTTCAATCCCTGTATCCCAGAGCCCTGTAGTTCCAAGGTTGTGCATACATCATATTTACCTCTGTCCCGCTTAGCCCTTGCAAACCTGCTTGAATGTTCTCCCATCTGCCTTGTTTTTCCAGTTCCCTGCCCCTTCCCCAGCACCAAACTATCCTGTGTCTATTCCCTATCCTGTGTTCCACCTTCCACTCCCTCCCTACAACCCACTCCCCACATCCCCATAACCAGCAAAGTATCCACCCTCTCCTTTTAGTATGGGTTCTTTTTCTCAGTTTTTTACAACACTGGTCCGATGTTGTATTTCTCCTTTTGTGACTGACTAATTTCACTCCACATAATGTCCTCAAGGTTCATCCATGTTTTGTGGTGACCTGCAGCTTCCTTGTTATTCTTCAAGGTAGCATAATTTTCCATTATGTGTATGTACCAAAGTTTGTGTATCCATTCTTCCATAAATGGGAACTTAGGTTGTCTCCATCTTTTTGCTATTTTAAATAGTACTGCTATGAACATTAGTGTGCATATATCTACTTGTGTAATGGCTGTGCTTCTTGTTAGAAAATACCAAGTAGAGGAATTGTTGGATCATAAGGTATTTCTATTTCCAACCTTCTGAGGAAACTCCATATTGTTTTCCAGAGTGGTTGGACCTTTTTGAATTCCACCAGCAATGCAGGGGAGTCCTAGACTCTCCACATCCTCGCCATCATTTATTGTCCT